TTTCACCTCCTGAGTGCGGGGACCACAGGCAGGTGCTCCCAAACCCAGTTTTATGAAGTGCTGGAGAATGCAATCCAGGAACCTGGGCACGCTAGGTAAGCACCCTCCCAGATGGGCTGCGTCCTCAACCCCTAATCCCCAGGAATTTTTCTAGTGCATTTTAGGTTGAAAAGTCTAGCTGTATAACACAGAGGTGAGGCTGGACCTCATGAGTCTTTAAGAAAGCTCTGTGTATGGAAGCTTGCATTGGATCCATCCAGAATGATTTATGGAACATCGTTTTCTGGGTAAAAACATTAGCTCAGAGGTCACGTGGATGCTGGTGTGATGTGTCAATGATGGCTGTGGCAGAAGGTGTGGGGACAGCTGCTGCATGACCAGGCAGGCAGCTCCTCTCATGCTCCCTGACTAACATGCCTTTGGCAACCCCCGGGGGCGGGGAGGCCAAAGGTGCCCTGTATTTCTTTCTTCTGCCTGGGACAGTCCCCTGCATACATGGTTATCCAGTGAAGGTCTCATTCCTACTCACTGTCAAATCCAACCAACACACCGTTGCTTATGTGACTCTTTACGATCTAGGGCCAAAGTTACTGTGCTCCAGGTTAGGAGGAAAACAGGAAATTCATAACTAGCAAAGGTGGAAGGCTGCAAAGAGCCAACGTGCGCACACAGACACAAACACACTGGCGAAACAAGAAAGACAATGGTCAGGACCTTAGGCAGCCATTTAAAAAGAATCTTTCCACAAACTAGTTCATGTGAGAAAATGCCCCTGAAGAGACCAGAAGACAGCCATACGCAATATAGCAATGTAGCCCTGGTTCAGTTCCCAGTACCCATGTTGGGCAGCTCACAATCTTCTGTAACTACAGCCGCAGAGGATCTGATAGACGTGTGGGCAGGGTGCTGGCACACATGTGGTACACATTATCTTCCCCCCTCCTTCTCTGTGCTCTCTCTCTCTCTCTCACACACACACAAACCCCACACCCCGAAAATCTAAAACAACAAACAATCTAGCAAACACTGCTAGATTAAAAAATAATAATCACTATCATTTATATGATATATATGAAAAAGTCATTTTACTTTTTTTGTTTTGTTAGATTTTGGTTTTGGTTCCCCCCCTCCACCCCGGCTGTAGCCCTGGCTGTCCTGGCACTTGCTTTGTAGACCAGGCTGGCCTTGAACTGACAGATCCATCTCTGCCTCCCCAGTCCTGGGATGAAAGGTGTGGGAAACCACCATCCAGCTTAAGATATTTTTTTTTTTAAATATCTTATTAATCCTTTGAGATTTCCATCCAGTGTATTACGTAGAGGCTGTTTCTTAGTAGCGAGCTTAGAAGCAATCTCCTATTTTCTTTCTACCTTTCTAAATTTTGAAATTTAAAAAGTTTCAAAAGTTTCAAGAATAACTAGATTTTCATGATGGACTTGTAAATGCGTGCTATCTGGAGCTTGTGTCACCTCTGCTATTCTTACTCAGATGGCACCTGGCCTCTGCTTGAACCCCTCTAGTAATGAGGAACTCACTACCTACCCCCTCTTTTTAACCACTTCCGAACAAGAAATGGAAATTTGGCTCCCTGTAGCTTCTCTCGGTGGCCATGATCTTTAGTCCTAGTTCAGCAGAGAACAGATTTTTTTTTTTACTCCCTGATAACAGGGGTTCCAAGGCCAGATCTGGGCTGCACATCCCTGGCACCTGTCCACCTAAGCAAGCATTATATCTGCGGTCCTCACAAACTCCTTTGCTTCTTTTGGTGAGCCACGGGCAGCAACACCCTTAAATCACAACTCTAATTCTATGTCTTGCTGGGTGGTGGTAGCACACACCTTTATTCCCAGCACTCAGCAGGCAGAGGCAGGCAGATCTCCATGAGTTCAAGGCCAGCCTGGGCCACAGAGCAAGTTCCAGGACAGCCAAGGCACACAAAGAAACCCTGTCCCCAAAAAACCCAAAACAAACGAAAAACATTATTATGTGTGTTTGAGATGGCTCAGTGGGTAAAGTTACCTTTTGATAAAACTGACCACTTGAGTCCGATCTCAAAGAAGGAGAGAACCAACTCCTGAAAGTTGTCCCCCCCCCACATGAAGTGGCATGTGTGTGCACACAGACACATAGACATACACACACACACATTACATGAGAAGAAGTATGTGCATAGGACATGAAATAAGGGAGTGTAGGGGAATAAAAAAAAGTTTGTTGTTACTGTTGCTTGTTTTATTGAGGCAGGGTTTCACTGTGTAGCCCTTGCTGGCCTGAAACTTTCTATGTAGACTAAGCTGGCTTTGAACACACCATAGCTAAGGAAGACCCTGAGCTTCTGAACCTCCTACCTTACCTTCCAAATTCTGGGATTAGAGGCATCTACACCATGCCCAGTTTACGTGGTGCTGGGGATGGAAGCCAGGGCTCCACCCACTGAGTTACAGTCCTAACTCCTATTCCCAGCAGCCTCTCCTGAGAAAGCAGTGATTTAGCCCCAGGCTGGGCCTCTTGGTAAAGTCTAGAGTACCTGGTCAGCCAAGCCACAGAGCACAGAGCTCTTCAGCATCTCAGATCTGCGAGGGAGGTCTTAAAGACTGAGATCCTGTTGCCACCTTCACTGCCATGGGCCACCCCACTCTGCACAAACCCCACATCCTGGGCTTTCTGGAACTCAACTTCCCTTAAGCCCTTGGCTTTGATTGGGGGAACTCCTGCCAAACTTTCCCACCCAAGAAGCCTTCCTCCCAGTCCAGGGAAGCTCTCCTGAGTCACACCAGGCTAAGCCTTGGCCTGGCTCCCAGCTGGCCCCTATTGCACTCCTCAGCACCCGCTCCATGCTCTGCACAAGGCAACGAGGGGTGGGGGGCAGGTGGGAGAAGGCCAGATGGCATGTGGAGAAAGCAAGTCATATATATGTATATGTACATGTATATGTTGGAGACAGGCTCTATGTAGTCCTGGCTGTCCTCGAACTCCCTATGTAGGCTAGGCTGCTCTCAAACTCACAAAGATCCACCTGCCTCTGCCTCCTGAGTTCTAGGATTAAAGTTTCATGCCATCACACCCAGCAAGTCTTCTATACTTTTTTTTAATTAAGGAAAACATTTTAAAAATTTTTATGTGTATGGGTGTTTTGCTTGCATGTGTCTGTGTCCCATATGCATTTGGTTGCCCACAGGGGCCAGAAGGAGGTGTCGCATCTCATGGCACTGAAATTTCAGACGGTTATGAACATCATGTTGATACTGGGAGTCGAACCTGGGTCCTCTGGGAGAACAGCCAGTACTCACAACCACTGAGCCATCCCTCTAGACCCCTAGCCTTCCATGAGCAGTCACCCTACCATCTGACTCTCATCACTCCTCTCTCTGAGCCTCAGGGTCCACACCTATAATGTGGGGACGCTTGGTTCCATAGCTCAACCTGGTTCCCAGGGCCTTCCTGGGGCAGAGCAGGAAGTGAAAATGCTCAGGGCGTGTCATTATTTGTGGTCTGACCCTTGTGGCCCCTGAGCTTCTATTCTGGAGCCCCATCCCCCAGGGGTATTGGCAGCCTGCCTGGATGAACTGGGTGCTCAGGGCTTGACACTTGCACTGGAAATCCAGCAAAAGCACCAACCAGGAGGGATGGGAACAGGTGGGAAACTTAGCCAAAAAGCAGCCCACTGTCCTGCTAACAGGCACCATGAACAACCAAACCTGGCAAACCCAGGTTCAGGGCAGATACGCCAGGCTGTTTGAGGCGAGAAAGGTGATGGCTCTGTAGCCATCAAGAAGCCAGTAGAAGCCAGGTATAAGCCCGTGCTTCTAATTTCATCACTGGCGAGGCCAGGGAAAACGGAAAGTTTGGGGCCAACATACTGAGACCTTGTCTCAAAAGCTAAACAAAAACACCCAGCCTGATGTGATGGGATATGCCAGCAATCCCAGCACTTGGGAGGAGGAGGCAGGTGGATTGGTAGTTCGAGGCCAGCCTTGGCTATACATTCAATTTGAGGACAGCCTGGGCTTACTTACACAAGACCCTGTCTCAAAAAAAGGGGTGGGGAGAAAAATAAAACAAAGAGTGAGAAGAAGTCATTGCAACTGTACGGGAGGGTTCAGAGAGAAGACAGAGACTGACAAAGCTAGAGACAGATAAACAGAGATGATAGAAAGACTAAAGAGCTGAAGTTTATTGCAAAAGCCTAGTCGTTTTCATAACGGGGACTGATCAAATTCAAGGGCTGTCCAGGACAAAGGACTAGGACTCTAGGGTCCCTGTTCCCTTCTCTGGGCCTCCTGCTGTCGTCTGTGGACACCAGGCTCCGACCTCCTGAGGCTGCTCAGACCTCAAGGGGCAGAAACCTGAGTCAGTCTCTTGGGCCCTAACCCAGCTTCAGGCCCCTGGGGGGAGGGACAGGAAGGGCGGAGAGAGCCGCAGGGGACTACAGACCGCCTCCCTCTTTGGCCCCTCCCAGCTACCCTAAGGGCAGCCCACGCACCGCTCTGAGCCCTGCAGGAGGCCCCGGCTCTCTCCCCGGGCTCCGCAGGGTGCAGTGATCCGAGCAGAAACGCACTCGTTGTGGGGCAGACCGTGTCTAGCAACCCTTCGGGGTGCACCTGGGAGTCTAGGTTTCCAACAGGTCTCAGGTGATGCTGGCGCCTCAGGGCGGTGGACCACTCAGAGACCGCGGGCCACAGACCTTAGCTCAAGGCTCAGAGGGGTCAAAAGTCCCGTCCTCGACCACACAGTGACGGACCCACTCTTGAGGCCACCTGCCGCGGACACACCAGTTCCCTCCCCGCCGGGCCAGCGGAATCAGCTGCAGTTTGTTTGGGACTGAGTGTGTGTCAACTCAGCTGCCGCGTTGGCTCGGCACAGGAGGTGACAGAGCACTCCCCGCCCCCCCGCCCCCCACCCGGTCTCCGTGCCAGTCCCCAAGTATTGTCCATCCGGTATCCTCTGCCGTCCCTCCGAGCGCCCCCCGAGGCAGACCTCCGTGTCCCGGAGCCCGGTACCTTCTCCTCGCGCTTGCAGCGGCTGGGTCGGCTGTGCCTGCAGCCCATCCTGCTCCGTGCGTCCCGCCGGCCGCGACTCTCTCTCTCTCAACCGCCCAGAGCTGCAGCCGCACCGGCTGTGCGCCTTAAATGCCGGAAGAGCAGGGCCTGCGCGGGGCCCCGGGCCGAGCCGGGGCCGGGCCAGGGCAGGTGCCAGCGGCGCTCCACGCCAGAAGCACCTGAGGCCGTGGCAGCTTGGGGGATCCCGAGGAGCAACAGATGTTTCTCAGGAGCCTCTGATGAGAAAGAGCTGAGAAGGAAAAGAACCAAAAACAATTAAACCAGGCGTGGTCCCACACGCCTGCAACCCCAGTTCTGGGGAGGTGGAGGCAGGAGGATCACAAGTTCGAGGACAGTCTGGGGGCATAACAGGGGTTCATGATACCCCTGTCACTGAGCCAGTTTGTTTGCGCAAAGCAAACCGATTGGAGAGATGTCGTAGCGGCTAAGGGTGCTGACTGCTCTTCCAGAAAACTGTGGTTCAACTCCGTGCACCCACATCACGTCGGGTGGCTCACTGCTGCTTGTAACTCCAGCTCCAGGGCATCTCTCTCTTAACCTCTGAAGGCACTGGTGGTGAGCCCCTGTAACCCAGCACTCGGGAGGCTGAAGTGGAGTATTTCTATGAGTTACAGGTCTAGGCTACAGAGTAAGACCTTATCAAATAAATAAATAGCCAACTAGAAGGTAAAAATTTGGCAGTTGCCTCTGAACCTGACCCTGAGCCGTGTCACACACTCTGTTCCCACCCTATACATCTTTTAAGCTGAAAAAACAACAACAACAAAAAACAAACAAACAAACAAACAAAAAACCAGTCAAGGCGGCTCCCATTTATAGTTCCAGCTCTTGGGAGGCTAAGCCAAAAGGATAGCCACAAGTTGGAGGTCAGTGTAGTCTACAGGGTGACACCTTGTCTCAAAAGAAAATTAGTTAAAACAAACAAACAAAAAAAGGCCTGACAAGATGGCTCAGCGAGTAAAGGTGCTTGCTACGAAGCCTGCGTTCAACCTAGGAACCATATGGTGCAAAGAGAGAGCCAACTCCTACAATTTTTCCTCTGATCTCCATATGTGGGCCATGCACGTGCCTATGCGCACAGGTATACACACACACACACACACACACACACACACACACACACAACATACACATGAACCACACACTCTGAATAAATAAATGGAACAAAAAACATACTTCAAAGTGTGACAACGCTAGTAGCAAGGCCAAGAACTCAGGTAGAATGCTCTCCCAAACCTGGCTTTTTTTTTTTTTTTTTTTTTTTTTTTAACACCTCTGCAAGTAAATGGCACCCACTTTCATTGTAAGGCTTCCACAAGGCTGGGTCAGTAGCTTTCCCCAGCTCACAAGATCTGTGACATGCTCTTCTCTCCTCGGGACAGACACAGCAAGCTTGCCAGCAGACACGTCGGATGCAGTAGGAACAGGGACAATAGGGTCAGAATCTAGGACAAGGAACTCCTTCCTATCTGTCTTCTCTGCGCTACTTGCTGAGAGAGGGATGTGAGAAGATGATAATAGCTTTGAAAATAAGCGTTCCAGAGGACTGGGCGCTGGCCAGAAAATCAGTGTCAAGGCCACAAACTCTTTGGAAGGTGTGTTGATGGAAGAGACCAAGCTCAATGAATAGCACAAGACCTCTCAAGGCAGTGCTCCTCCGAAGAGCGTAAAACAATAGTGAGCTGAGCATGGTGGCTTATACCTGTAGTCCAAACACTAGGGAAGCTGAAGGAGGGGAGAGGGGAGATCACTGTGAGTTCCAGACAAGCCTGGGCTACATAATGAAACCTTGTATCTTAGTCACTGTTCTATTGCTGTGAAGAGACACCATGATGAAGGCAACTCTTATAAAAGAGAACGTGTAACTGTAAAGCCTTCTTTTTTTTTTTTTTTTTTTTTTTTCTGTAAAGCCTTCTTAGTTTCAGAGGCTTAGTCTGTTATCATCATGGCAGGGAGTGTGCAGAGACACTGGGGCAGTAGCTGAGAGTGCTACATCCTGATCCACAGGCAGCAGGCAGAGAGAGACAGAGAGAGAAGGGGAGACAGAGTCAGAGAGACAGAGACACAAAGAGAGAGACAGAGACAGAGAGAAAGGCAGAGAGAGACAGAGAGACTGAGAGACAGACACAAAGAAAGAGAGACAGAGAAAGACAGAGAGAGAAGGAGAGACAGAGACAGAGACACAAAGAGAGAGAGAGAGAGAAACAGAGAGGAGACTGAGCCTGACATAGGTGTTTAAAATCTCAAAGCTCCACCCTCATGGCACACCTTTTCCAACAAGGCCACACCTTCTAATTCTTCCTAAACAGTCCACCCACTCAAAACCAAACATTCTGACATGTGAGCTTTTGGGGATCATTCTCATTCAAGCCACCACAGAGATACTTATGAAGGCAACCAAAGCATAGGCAGGTGAGAAGGCTCAGGGGATTAAAGGGACTTGCCACCAAAGCCTGACAACTCATATTCAATCCTCAGGACCCGAATGACGAAAGGAGAGGAGTGGCTTCCCCATTAGATGTCTAGTGAATGACCTACACCATGGTGCTTTTCTGTTTTCTGTTTGTTTAAAGATGTTTTTTTAAAATTATTTTTTAGCTATGTTTGTTTTGTGTGTATGAGTGCTTTACCTGCATATGGACTGCTTTCATGCCTGGTACCCATGGAGGTAAGAAGAGGACACCAGATCCCCTGGAACTGGAGATAAGAATGGTTGTGAGCTTCTTGCAGATGCTGAGAACTGAACCCCGGGTTCTCTGCAAGGGCAGCAAGTGCTCTTAACTGCTGAGCCATCTCTCAAGCATCTTCCTCTTTTTCTAGTAAGAGGGTATTACTGTTATCATCATAATCAAAATAAATATTATTATAGTGGTAAATACTTTTAATAAATATAATAATAATATTGTGTGTGTGTAGGTCTTGAATCAACTTGAGGGAGTGAGTCAGTTCTCTTTTGTCATGTGGCTACTGGGGAATGAAGTCAGGTCATCAGGCTTGGTGGCAAGTTCCATTACCCACACAGCCATCCACTGGCCCAATTTTTGTGTTTTTGAGACATGTATCCCAGGCTGGCCTCAGAGTCACTGTGTAGCCAAAGAGGACCTTGAACTTCTGATCCCTCTGCCTCTACCTCTTAAGTGCTGGGATGATTGACAGGAGTGCGGCATCACATTTGACATCCAAATCGTCTATGTTTTCAACAGAGGTTAGGAATTTTTCATGTAAACCCTGAAACAGTGGTCTGTCTTTTACACACACCCTTCCCCCACCATCTCTATCTCTATCCCCAGCATGCAAGCTGAACAAAAAACTTGAAGGAAGTGTCATGGCAGCTGGTCCAGGTGAACAGACAGATGATGAGCCGGGGCCTGGAAAAACACCGTGGAAGCAGAGGGAATGACTAAGCCTGTCTGGGAGCGGGAAGGTTGGGCAGCTGCCCCAGCATGTGATGGCTGCAATGGGCTCTGCAGATTGAGTATGGTTCTTCTCATCCCTATGGGAAAGAATATTTCTCAGCCAGTTGCTGTGAAGCATTTTCTAGGGGTTGCAATGGCTTGGGGTGGCCAGAGTGTTGGGTGGATGAGGTTTGTTCGGAGGACACATGGAGACTCCCTGTGGCCTTGGTGATCTGGGCAAGCTGTTTTGACTTTATCTTGTAGTCAAGGGCAGGATGTGTCAGACGGGTATTATTCAGGGTCACTGGGGAGGAGAGGGTAGGAAGTGCTGGCTGTGAGTGGTTGAGCAGTTAGTTACCTGAGTGTCTGCAAAGGGAGTCCGTGAGGGTGCAGAAGAACTGCCTCCCCCAGGCCCACTCAGACCCATCCTGAGCTCCCAGCATGCAAGCTGCCAAAGCTCTTCTCTCTGCCCTCAGCCTGGGAGGAGGAGCCAGGCAGGATATTGTGGTTACCGGGGCCTCTGGTTACAGTATGTTTATTTGTTAAAAACATTGCAATCTCTTAAATCGGGGCCCTGGACAGGATCCAAGGACAGTAGCAGGGACCAGCCCTGTGGGAGTGGGGTGGGGGTAGAGTGTGATTCATAATGAAGTAAATGCACAGGCAGAGAGCCTTGGCATCCTGGGTAGCTGGGGGACCCCACGTTCAGGTGCCATTTGAAAGCTGGGCAGGGTTGCCCAGGATTGGGCAGAGGAAGCCCAATCCTGCCTCTTCAAGGCACTTTGTATGTGTGTCTGTTCACAGGTGTGCTGATGTGTGGAAACCAGAGAGCAGCCTTGGCTGTCGTTCTTCAGGCATTCAACATTGCCTTTCGGGGCAGGGTCTCTTACTGGTCTGAAACTGGCCCAGGAGGCGAAGCTGGTTAGGATCACCTGTCTCCACCCCTTTTAGTGCTAGAACCCACCATATTCAGATTTTTAAACCATGGGTGCTGGAGATCAAATTCAGGTCCTCATTCTTGTGTGAGCTCTGCCTGAGGTATTTCCTGCTCTCACTCTTTAAAATTTTATTTACTTGTTCGTTCATTCATTCATTCATTCATTCATTCATTCATTCATTCATTCAAGACAGAGTCTTACAATGCAGGCATGGGTGGCCTAGAATGCCCTATATTGGACCAGGCTTTCTCTGCCTCCTGAGGGCTGGGATAGCAGTCATTCACCACCACCAGGCACCTTTGGCATTTGATGGCAATGCAGCATCTTCCAAGCTGTATGCAAGATCTAGGAGCAGAGGGTAGAGGGGTCAGGAATGTGCCCTTCCCCCAGTCCCCTACTCCCCATCCACTGCCTGAGACTATCCAACCTGTTATGATTCAGGGGTGTGTTGTAACAGAGGGTGGTACCCACTGAGAGGTAAAACAGGTCAAGAGGTGAAACTACGCAAGGGGCTGCTTGGGGAAGGCTCCCCAAGGAATGGCTAATCAGAGCCATTTAATCGGGATTGGACAGGGTTCTGTGTTTGGTCCCTTTTCAGAGGGAGATATTCCTCCTTAGATAAGTCAGAACTGGGCTTCCAGAGAACTACATTCTTGGGGCTAGGGAGACGGCTTAGTGTAGAAAGTTCTTGCCATGCAAGT